TTTTTTATTTTTATTTATTTTTCCTTAATTTATTGAGAGGATTATTACGTAATAAATTGCAAGCTATATTTAAGCGGGTGTTGGATATATATACTGGTGCCTGGAAGTAGAATGTGAAGCGGAGGAATTAAGGAGGTGATGACACGTGTGCGTGAACGGGTGAGGACGTGGCGGAAGGATGTTGAAAGAAGGCGCACATGGCGACACGCACTTGCTTAGTCATGCTGTTGGGGGTAAAATTTGGTGCAACGTGTTCTTTTTAAACTTGAACAATATCTTACTATGCCCTTAACATGATGTTCTCGGGTAGCCCACCCTCGTAATATCGTAGTATAAGGTTTTTTGCATCTTTCTTTGTACCAAAAAAAAATTTATAATAATCCATAAATATATATAGATAATTTTATTTGGCTACGAGAGATTGCTGGGGTCAAAATTCATGCAGAACAAAATCACACAAATTAATGAAAGTGCACTTTATAACAAGCTCACAAAGGTGAACCAGTTGAATTATCACACTACAAACAATACAAAGAAATGTGCAAGTAAACATTTGGAAGTTGAAAATCTTGCTTACTACAGTCCCTTACAATGAACTTGCAGATAACAGAAAACAGAACAAAGAGCAAAAAATTTACACCTTGCAAAAGATCGAAAAAAGTCGAAAAACCGAGCTTTTCTTCGTTCGTTTCTCAACGAGGCCCGTTGGTAGGATAAAATCCCGAATCCATTTGGACAGCGTACAAGTCGGAATGCTCGTTCATAAGCCCGTGTCCTTCTTCTTGATCGACATCCGGCCCGGCCCAAGAATGCTTACTGATCTTCCTCAAACCTTCGAGCTTCATCACGACCTCTTTCATGGTCGGCCTATCGTCTCCCTGCAGCCTCAGGCAGCTTCTCACGAGGTCACCCGCAGCCTTGATTTGCTCCAAGCTACCTTCCCTCAGCACCCTCGGGTCCACGATCTGAAACAGTCGATCCTCTTTTAGGGAGGTTACGAAAAAAGTCGAAAGGCATTTTTCGTCGTCGTTTTTTGTGCTGTCGAGGGGCTTTCTTCCGGTCATGAGCTCGGCTAGGACGACACCGAAGCTGTAGACATCGCTCTTTTCGGTGAGCTGGCTCGTGTGGAAATACTCCGGGTCGAGGTAGCCTAAGGTTCCTGTTTTGAAAGGAGAAAACGAGGTGTCGGTTGGTTGCTGATTATTCGTGTAAATGGGCATTTTTTTTTAAGGGAGAGGTAGATGGCTAAAAGGGATTAAATTTTTGAGCAAATTGGGTTAAAATCAAGAATCAAGAACTTGAAGGGAAAATGTATGGCAAAAAGGGAATAACTTTTGTGCAGATTGGGTTAAAATCAAGAATCAAGATCTTGGAGGACAATGTAGATGGCTAAAAAGGATTAACTTTTGTGCAAACTGGCTTAAAATCAAGATCTTGAAGGACAATGTAGATGGGTAAAAGGGATTAACTTTTGTGCATAGTGGCTTAAAATCAAGAATCAAGATCAGCTTCTATCAGCTGTAGTTTTGAAAACAAAAGTGAAAATATGGAAACAGCAGCTCACAAAAAAGCCACTATAGCAAAAACTTATAGAACTCAAAAAAGAAGCCTTACCTTGCACCAAAGTTGAGACCTGAGCTTGATCGATTGGGACCAACCTCGAGGCCCCGAAATCCGAGATCTTTGCTGTGTAGTACTCGTCCAGCAAAATATTCGGTGACTTCACATCCCTATGTATAACGGGCTTAGCAGCCGACGAGTGGAGATAGGCCAAAGCCCCAGCCGCCTCGGCCGCAATTCTTAACCGATTGTCCCACGAGAACCACGGCATGTTCCCACTTTTATCTATATGATCAAAAAGCGTGCCGTTAGACACGTACTCGTAAACCAACAACGGGACCTCGGTTTCAAGGCAGCACCCGAGCAGCTTCACGACATTACGGTGGTTGACTTGGGTCAAGATCACGACCTCATTAATGAACTGCTCGATTTGGGCCTTGTCCATGACCCTAGACTTCTTGATGGCCACGATTTGTTGGCCCGTTAGGATGCCTTTGTAGACGGTTCCGTACCCGCCCCGACCCAGGACCCGTTCGTTCGAGTAGTTTTTTGTGGCTTTCTCGAGCTCGTCGGCGGTGAAGATTTTGGTTGATTTCGTGGTGTGCTCGTCCGAGTTCAGCTGCTGTTGTAGTAATAGGCCGCCGTTTTGTTTGAAGAATTTCTCTCTTAGCTTGATGAGTTTGCGTTTCTTGAGGCTCAAGTAAAGTACGGTCGAGGCTATTACGAAGGCCAAAAAACCGAAACTTGTGCCTGTAGAGTTGAAACATCATTCAAGAATTGCATTGATCAAACTAAAAGACCAGCTAATTTAACAAACACTTTTACGATAAAAGCAAGCTTTTCAGCCAGAAGTCTAAGCTATCAGCTACAAACTTAAAATTCACTTAAAAGATATAAGCTAGTTTATCGGCTAGGTTAACCAAACATAACTTAAGCCTTAAGAGTTAAAGAGTAACCTAATGCCAACTTGGTAACCGGAAATCGGGAGTTTTCGGCAATGCAACCACGGCCATCTCTCGTGCCATCACCGAAAAATCCTCTGCTGCAAGTACAGTTATACCCGCCTTGAGTATTCGTGCAAATCCCATTATCAGCACAAGGATTGTTTGCACACTCGTTTATATCTGCACGATAAAACCAAAACGCAGTTTTTACCAAAGTCGAATGTTCGGTTTATTTATTTACCCCGAAGGACAATAAAAATATAAAAAATACCGGTGCAGCCAGGACTAAGATATGGATTCCCTTGATACCCTTCCAAGCAACTGCATCTGTATCCTCCGAGCCCCGTCTCGGAATCTACACAACGAGTATTTTCGAGGCAAGCATAACCGTTTGAACTCATAGCTTCACTGCAATTTCGAGCACCGATTGCCCACTCGAGAACTACTGGCACGCGCTCAATTGTCCTGTTTTGGAAACCCGTGTCGTTTAGGTCTGTGGGGTTGAACTCGTATCGGTTTGGGTCACCGAGAAAGGCATAGCCACACGGGTTGAAGGACCAAACATTTATGTGACTGTTTAACGTTCGAACGTTTGCATTGAAGCTCTTCAGCCCTCTTGGGATGGCTGTTTGGCAGCATCCTATGCCAGAACAATCACCTGAAAATTCAATCATGTAACAGAACATTTTCATTCGCCTGAATTTTTTTTTGGTTCAATGTTACTCTTACAATAGAGCTGCAGTATGAAAATATAGTGTCACATTCAGAAAAAAGTTCATACTTGTTAACAAATCCTCACATTTGAATCTGTACATGTCTAATTATGAGAGTTTGACAAATTAGCATAATATGATCTGACTAAATCACAAAAATTTTAAAAAACAATACTTTGCTAAAATTAAGAAAAAAAAAATAAAAAATTAGCAACTAGACAATGTACTAGTAATTATTAATGAATCTGCAACTAAAATTAATTTTCCACCTTCAATCAAGTCATGGCTGTTTGAACACAATGAAACACAGCCACTCGTAAAATTAAGCCCGTCGAGCCCAAATATGAGTGCAAACTCGTCACAGCCAATGACCGTGAACCTGTTTCTGTCGGAAAACACGTAAGGAGTAGTCGAGAGGTTGATCGAGGCTCGATTCTGACGCGTCACGGTGCCAGCCTGGCCGTAACACGTGGCAGCCACCCAGTTAATGATCCGAACCGTTTCATTGTCGATGTCAACAATCTGGAGATTGCCCGTGGATATGAAAGGCCTAGGCGGGTCGAACGAGGAGTTGCAGTCGACTTCGAACCCGCGGTCCAGGGCACAACCCGACCCGAGCCCGATGCCAAATGGGTAGGGCACGGTCACCTGCCCGCATTGGCTCGGGCAGTTCGGCCTCGAGATGGTGGCTGTGGTGGGTTGTGCCGTGGCGAGGTGAGTGTGCAGGATAGTTAGAATGAGGCATAGGAGAAAGAGAGGGAAAATTGGTTGTGAAGAGAGATATTGAGGCATGGTTTTGGAGCTTTGGACTAATGGGTTATGAGTTAAATGTACTCTGATCTGTCATGTAGCTGTGTAGTTTTAGTTTAAGTGATTTGTGTGTTGAGAGTTTTGACTTTTTTTTTTTTTTT